GCTGCGAGCTCCGCTCTGCGCTACTGGCGCGACACGCCACTGAAAACTCGGCCGCCTACACTACAGGGGAGGGGAGGCCCGAAGAATGAGGGCTGCAGGACGCCAGTGATCAGCCTTTTGGGGCGGTCCGGAGCCAGCATTCCCGATCCACCATCAGTTGTGCCCGATCACATCTATGCGTCGGAGAATTGCTTGAACTGGCGTGTGTGTGTGTAAATATACAGACATGTCCCTATCCATCCCCGTGCCGTAGGCACTGAGTGAAGTGTCCTAAGTTCCCTTCGAGTTCTCCGCGTTGTGTATTGCAGCACCCTTTGCGGGGCGCAGACCCCGGAATTCTGGGCGCTCATGAGCGGTCCCAGGCGCTGTTGGGCGCTCTCGGGACGGCTCGCGTGACTTTCTCATAGGCCTCGGGAGCGTGGCTGGGATTCCATACTTCCAACATGCCCAAGATGGTCTCTGGGCCGTTTGGGAGTCCCTGGGAGCCAGCCAGGAGGCCCAAATCATTGAAAACCATCCGATTGTTGCATGATCTGGGCAGGCTCGACTTTTCTGTCTTAAGAGCGCCCACGACGGCCCAAAAGACCCCGAAAATCGTCGCAAGAAAGCCTCGGAGGCCCACGAGGGCCCATGAGGCTCCCAAGACCGAAGACGGCCCCACGATTTGCCCACGAGGGGGAACTCGAACTGACAGTTCGAGCCCTTTCCCCCAAGATGGCCCCGACACCGCCGAGAGGCACACAAGAGGCTCCCAAGAGGCCCCAAGAGACCCCCAAGAGGCCCCAAGAGGCACCCGAGAGGCTACCAAACCGCACCCGAAAGACCCCCCAAGAGATTCCAACAGTCCTGAAATTGCCCTCTTGTCCACGACCAGGCACGGTGGCGGGATGGGTCGAAGCCAGCACGATAAACACAGACACGCATACATACATATATGTATATGTACACACACCAAAAAACGTGCACAGAGATCGTAAACAGCAATGCTGCCTGAAAACGCGCATGGTGAGTCAACATCACACGGGGCGTGAAGAGGGAAGAAACCGAGCACAGCACTGCAAACCACGGCGCGCGGGGACGACACGGCACATCCGTCGCATTCTGAAAATCCAGCACGACACGGCAAGGCACGCGGGGACGGCACCGCACATAACGTGTTTCGCATTCCCAAACCAGGCACGGCGCGAGCACGGCACGCCACGGCACGGCTCGGCACATGCCTCGCACTCGAAAACAGAACCACAGCCCGGCACAGCACAGCACACGTGTTGCGTTCTGGACCCTGGGCCCGGCACGCGGGCACGGCTCGGCACCATTTCTGAATCCTTGGACCTCCTCCTCCTCCTCCTTCTTCCTCCTCCTCCCCCTCCTCCTCCTGCTGCTCCTCACCCAGACCACTGGACGGCACGGTCCGTTTTTCGTATTCTACAACCCAGGCACGGCACGGCCCGCGGGCACGGCACGGCACTGCGGCGGCGCATGTCTCGCACTCTCTGCCACTGAAGCGGGCGAGACAGAGAGAGACAGAGACAGACAGACAGACAGACAGACAGACAGGCAGACAGGCAGGCAGGCAGACAGACAAGCAGACAGACAGACAGAAACAGAAACAGAAACAGAAACAGAAACGGAAACAGAGCCAGAAACAGAACGAGAGAGAGATCTCGAGAGAGAGATTCTAGAAGCCTGGGCTCAGGGGTTGAACATGAACTTCCAGACTTGCCCTGGGGTGCGTTCTCGCAAGGGTTTCAAGGCAGATCCAGCGGTGGCGACGAGGAACCATCAGGAGGCCTACAACGCGGGCAAAGAACGCAACAATAACTCGAAACTCGAAGCTCGAACCTCAAAGCTCGCACCTACCCCATTTTTAGCAGGAGCGAGGAGGAGGGATGGCTGGAGAAGAGGGAGAGAGAGAGAGAGAGAAAGAAAATAATCAAGACGAGGAGGAGGAGGAAAAGGAGGGCGAGGAACAGGAGAAGGAGGAAAAGGAGGAGGAGAAGAGAGCGAGGAGGAGAAGGAGGAGGAAGAGGAGGAGGAGCAAGAGGAGGAGAGAGGAAAAAGGGGAAATAGCAGCAGAGAGGGGGGAGGAAGAGGGGGAGGAGGATCGATCGAGCTGTCGAACCGAATCCAGGCCTAGTTCGCATTTGCAGTGGAATTAGGAGAGGACGAACATAAGGAGGAGAAGGCGGACCAGAGTAAATCCAACATGTATCAACGATGCTGCAGTACACACTCACGTCCCAAGTCCCCTCCTCACATACGAGAACGGGGCAAATGCACCGTACCATGTCTGGTCTCCGTTCAGGCACCGACCCAACGGGGTACGGTGCATAGTTTGTTTGTCTCTGGGGGTCGAAAAACTATGCACCGTACCATCCCTGGGTCGAGAATCGACGACGCCACGAGAGGCGCGAACGCGGTAGAATGCACATACATCGCCCGCGGATCACAAGTTCCCTGCGAGCCTTCTTCTACACTACAAGAAACGCCCCCCTTGAAAGAAAAACACCCTCCGAGCCTGCCATTCAAGCGAGGGCCTCTCTTGCAACGGAACTGCCTTGCATCCTTCCGGCTCGTCGTCGAGACTGCACTCTCTACTAACCCTCCCCATCACTATAACATGCGCCCCTTGCCCAAGGTGCTCAATAGTTGTCATGCACAAGCTTATTGGGAGTGGTACCCGAGGTACCCAAGGAGGCACCCGAGGTACCCAGGGAGGTACCCGAGGTGCCCAATTGTTGTCATGCACATGCTTATTGGGAGGGGTACCCGAGGGACCCAAGGAGGCACCCGAGGTACCCAGGGAGGTACCCGAGGTGCCCAATGGCTGTCATGCACATGCTTAGTTGTCATGCACATGCTTATTGGGAGTGGTACCCGAGGTACCCAAGGAGGCACCCGAGGTACCCAGGGAGGTACCCGAGGTGCCCAAGTGTTGTCATGCACATGCTTATTGGGAGGGGTACCCGAGGGACCCAATACCCAAGGTGCTCAATAGTTGTCATGCACATGCTTATTGGGAGTGGTACCCGAGGTACCCAAGGAGGCACCCGAGGTACCCAGGGAGGTACCCGAGGTGCCCAAGTGTTGTCATGCACATGCTTATTGGGAGGGGTACCCGAGGGACCCAAGGAGGCACCCGAGGTACCCAGGGAGTACCCGAGGTGCCCAATGGCTGTCATGCACATGCTTAGTTGTCATGCACATGCTTATTGGGAGTGGTACCCGAGGTACCCAAGGAGGCACCCGAGGTACCCAGGGAGGTACCCGAGGTGCCCAAGTGTTGTCATGCACATGCTTATTGGGAGGGGTACCCGAGGGACCCAATACCCAAGGTGCTCAATAGTTGTCATGCACATGCTTATTGGGAGTGGTACCCGAGGTACCCAAGGAGGCACCCGAGGTACCCAGGGAGGTACCCGAGGTGCCCAAGTGTTGTCATGCACATGCTTATTGGGAGGGGTACCCGAGGGACCCAAGGAGGCACCCGAGGTACCCAGGGAGGTACCCGAGGTGCCCAATTGTTGTCCGGCTGCCGGCGACCGGCGACCGGCGACCGGCTGGCCGGCGACCAGCGTCCGGCGCCCGGCGACCGGCGGCCCCATGCGGGGGACCGGCTTCCTCCTCCTCCTCCTCCTCCTTTCGGGTCGTCCGTCGGCCTGTCGGCCGCGCTTCGGCGCATGCACCCTTACCCTTACCCTTACCCTTACCCTTTGAAGACCAGCAACCTGCGGGCATGCCATTGAGGCGACAGCCAAATTTTGAAATGGCATTGCCACGCACCATTCTAGTAAATGATACAGTCGGACCTACGCCAGAATAACATCCTTCAAGAACACGAAACCCTCCAGCGACCAAAACACCCCAAACGATAAGATCACTCGAGGGTACCCTCCCCCAGGATGCCCAAAAACATCGCCTAAACACACATAACTCTAGGAGACCCTCCCCGAGCCGACCTCGATCTTATACCTCGGCCCGACCGTAAGGAACGCGACAAGGTACGATCATGAAGCTCAACGGGATGTTTAGCGAGATCCCCGTTTTGAGAAAGGACTGCCCCTACTTAGCTGCATAACTCTTGCACAGCCTCGCACGTCTGGTCCCAAGCGCTGGGGAGGTCTCAAGCGAGCGCCACACTCTGAAAAGGAGCCGCCCCACCCGTGCAGCTGTTACATGTGCTCAAGCTTTCGTGCCCCCCTGCGCCATCCCCATATTATACGCAAATCTGTACCAGGACAGCTGGCTAACAGGCCCCTGCCGAGCATGCACGCGTTGCCTGCGGACCGTTGTGTCGGCTGTGTTTGTATGTAAACCGGCAGAAAAGCACGACCTTCATTCCTGCAACTGCTGCAGATTGTTAAAGCTAGTGCACGCGGCGCTAAGGCGAGAGCCTCAGTTTGAAAGGAGCCCTCCTCTATCCTTGGAACTGCTGCAAGGCATGAAAATATATGCGCCCTGCGCTAGGGCGAGAGCCTCACGTTGAAAAGGACTCCCCCTCCATCCTTGGATCTGCTGCTAACTTTTGCAACGAATGCACGCGGCGCTAAGACGGGAGCCCCATGTTGAAAACGACCCACGCCCCCTCCATCCTTGAAGCTGCTGCAAAGACTACAAACTCGTTTAGAACAAAAAGAATACACGCAGCGCAAAAGGCGAGCCCACCGTAGTGAAACCACACCCCACTCCATCATTGAAGATGCTGCACATTTCAAAACGAGTGTGTGCGGCGGCGAAGGGGAGAGCCCAACTCTGAAAATCTCCCACCCCTATCCCTGAAGCTGTTGCAAATGTTTAATAAAAACGCGCGTGGTGCTAGGGCAAGAGCTCCACTATGACCCCCCCTCGTATATCGTTGCAACTGTTTCGAATTCGCGAGCTTCATTTCATCAATGGTAAAGAAATCTCAGGCTCCCGATCCGCCCTACAAACACGTCTGGTGGTGAGACAGAGAGGAGTCACTTATGAGGAGAAGGGATGGGATGGGGAGGAGGAGGAGGAGGAGGCACGAGGAGGAGGGGAAGCGCGGAGGCGGAGCGAGGAGGACAGAGGACCAGGAGCCAGGAGCGAGACGCGAGGAGGAAGAGAGGGGTGCACCTACGAAGGTTTGCCCCAGCACAGGATTGCCGGGCGGCGGAGGAAGAGGAGAAGGAGGAGGGGAAGCTACAGGCACGCCGCCGCTGCCGCCGCCGGGGTGCGCAGCGTGTGCAGGGCGAAGACCAGGGCGGTGAGGACAGCCACGCCGCCAGCCTGCCCCCCAAGCGCGAGGGGACGCAAAGGTGGGGGCGCCGGAGATGGGGTTGCAGGAAATGCGCCCTGGACGGCGACTGGGTCGGCGCCCAGACGGAGATTCGGTCCCCAACCCCACCTTGTTTGGCTAACCCGCACTCTGCCGACTTTTTCTTGACGAAGCGACAGGCCAAACACCTACAAGCAGCGAGAGATACTCGAATGGATCCGTTTCCCTCAAAGGGGCCATGACCGCACCCGTTGACGCCCGACAAGCTGCCCCACGAACCCATGGAAGCTGGTCAGGGGACTGCTCCGTCCCCACCGGGAGACATTGGCCCCGCTGGCCTATCTGCAGCCACTGTGCCACCAGAAGGAAAGCTGAGTGAAGAGCGAAGAGGCTTTTCTGACCACGGCGAGCCTCGGCCACGGACACGTTCCCCGACCCACGTAAATCGAGGGATCGGCCCGAATACCAGACCCCTCGCAAAAGCCCACGGTGATTACATGGCTCAGCGTCTTGAGTGCAACCCCTCTAGATGGAGATGGGCTCCGTCTCAGACGGATCTCGCAGCACCCATCCCAACCTGGAGGGGCGTTACGCTGGAAAAGCGATTTAACTTACCCTGTCCCAGTCGGGGTTGGGATGGCTTTGATGATCCTCCTCTTCCTCCTCCTCCTCCAACTCGGCCTTCTTTTCCTCCGACTCTTCCTCCTCTTCCAGCACCTCCGCCTCCTCCTCCTCCTCAGACCACCACCTCCTTCTGCTCCATTTCTTTCCCTGATGAACAACTCCTCCCTGTCGCACCCTGGGGCCGGTCGAAACGGCGGGCTGGGCGTTTCGCCTGAGACTTCCTCACCACTTATTACCCTGAAGCTAAAACATAGCAACAGCTTCACAAATGGAGGACGAGTCGCTTCCAAAATGTGGTTCTCGCCTGAGCGCCGCGCACACTATTTTAAAACATTTGCAATGGTCTCACGGATAGAGGGCGGGCCATGTTCAAAATGTGGTTCTTGCCTTACCGCCTCGCACATTTACAACAGTTGAGTTGCAGGAGTTTCACACATTGAAAGCGATTGGCTCTCGCATTAGCGCCGCGAACATTCGTCTTCAAATCTGAAAGGGATTCACTGATTGAGGGCGGCTGGTTTCCAAAATGTGGTTTTCGCCTTAGTGCCGCACGCATTCGCCTTCGAGAATTACAAGAATTTCACGGATTCCCACGGTCAACGTACCAGAAATGGTGTGTTGGACGGACTCCGGACTATGAGGGTGCAACAGTTGAATTGATTCGCGGTGTTGAATCCCAGGAGTGGTGTTCCGTCACGAATCAGGACCGTCAAAACGCATCAGTCAGGTTGCTCCGTGGCGTTGGACTCCCGCATATGATGTTTTGGTACGCTTCAGGGTCTTCAAACAGTTGTCTCCCAAGGAGGCAGTTCTCTAAGCGAAAATGAACAATTGTAAGGTCATGTGGAGAGCGAGTTTGGAAGGAGGGTTTATTCCAACATCGTTGGTGGCCCTGGGTTTACACTGATCCTCCTCCTCCTCCTGCTCCTCCTCCTCGTCCGAAGACTCCTCCTCAAACCACCACCTCCGCCCGGTGCTGGCGCCCGCTGCTGCCGAGGACGAGGAGCTGGAGCGGGCAGTGATCGGTGGGGTCCTGAGGGATTGGGTCCGAAGGATAGGAAGGGTCCCGAGGGTGAATTTAATTAGTTTGGGGCGCATAGTCATTAGGACGATATCCCTCGGGACCCCATCTTTGAATCACCGAAATGAAGCTAGGCTGCGGGTTCCGACGGCAGTGTCTCCACACCACTTTGACGTCGCGCAGCTCCACGGCCTCACGAGCCCGCAAGCAGCGGTAGAGCAGGAGCGCGTTGCCTTGCTGTGTAATCGCTGGTACGCCGGCGAAGCTGCCCCGACCAAGCGTCCTCAACCCATTCTCCTCCACGCCCTGCTTCTGATCCTCCATCATCGCCAGCACTATCATCATTTCCATCCTGGTCCTCGTCCGATTCCACATCGCCCCAATCATCGTCATCAATCCTCCTCATCACTAAATCCCCCGCATCATGCAACTGATCATGATCCTCCTCACCCTTCCCATATCCTCCTTATCATCATCCTCATCACCCTTTTTCCCTCATCCTCCTCAACCTCGTCATCAGCATCGTGAAACTCGTCGCTGTAATCACGACAGCATCATACACAGCACCCTCATCAACATCGTCATCGTCATCAGACTCATCATCACCATCGACATTACCAGCATCACCATCAGTTGCATCCCAGGCATCAATAGCATCATCCGCATCATCATCAACATCATCACCACCAGCCGCAACAACACCATAATCGCCATAATCCTCAGAATTAACAGCATCACCACCGTCATTATCAGGAGCTGCAGCATCCTCATCTTCGCCGTTCAGCCTGATCATACCCATCCTTCTTCTCGCCCGCTCGCTCATCACCCCATCGGATTACTTAACATGATCTGCGGACCCAATAAGAAGAGGGCTCCCGCCTGAGGGTTCCTCGCAATTCACTCACAGACGAGGATCCCGCCTGACACGTCCGCCATAATCAAGCCTCAGAAGCCCTAAAGTGACGATAGCATGAGCTGCGGGTTCCATGCGGAGGGGGCCCCCGCCTGAGACCTCGTCGCAATTCACTCACAGAAGAGACTCCCGCATCTGATTTCCGCCATACCCAAACTTGAAGAGGCCAAGAGTGACGACAAATACAAGATTCCGATGGCCGCTCGGATTACTTAACATGATCTGCGGGCCACATAGGGAGAGGGCCCCCGCTTGAGACGTCCTCGCAATTCACTCACAAACGAAGCTCCCGCCTGAGACTTCCGCCATACTCAAGCTTGACTAAGCCAAATGCGAAGACAAGCACAGGATTCCGCAAGACGCAAAACGACAAGCACTGTTCTCCGACCTACTCTGTTCTCCAACCTACTCGACAGCCAACCACTACCACCACAAACGCACCACAAACTGACCGCCGACACGCTGCACTCTGCAGCAACAGCATGGGTCCCTGCTGACGTTTTCCCCCCAAAACGACCTCACATGTAAAACGACACGAGGAAGCTAATCAGGTTTAGAAGACACGCCATAACAGTACTACGACACGACAGGCGAACTATAGCAACAATCATGCCCCAGAAGCTCAACACGGACATCACGAAGGACCTCACAGGGAGGCCCACTGACAAGCACATACGCAAGCTGCACCTTGCACTATACACAGCAAGCGAAAACGACCAGCACGACCGAAGAACTGCTATCAGCACTTGCATGAAAGCGACTAGGACACCACTAGCTATCCAACAAAAAAAACGAACTGACCAGATCACCCAACGTTCCAGCCCATTCCAACACCTCCACGACCTCCACGAACATAGAGCAGCATGGCAACACGCCAAAGCAGCACTACGATACGGTCCCAACACCAAGAAAAAAACAGCTAAAGCACAGACCATGGCATACTTCCGCGACACAGAAGAACATGCACTTGAGAGCGACGAACAACAAGCACATGAATTCACAAGGCACGTCGCCAAACAAAAAGAAACCAAGCTCAGGGACAACGCAGGCATGTGCACTTTCTACAACCAGACGCTCAAGTCGCCCATCGCACCGCCCACGCCTGACTGCGTCAATCACGCCCCCCGAAGACGACAACGCTGATCAGAAACGTTAAACGACGTAAGCGACCGGGACTCGACAGGATTACAACTGACCTACTAAAAGCAGCACCAGCCAGCACAGCCAAGCATGCCCACCCACTGCTGCTCTACACGCCACTCATCCAACAAGAACCTCGACTATGGGAACCGGGTACAGCAATACCCAGGACACGGCATCACCAGAAGGGCCTCGCAATACCGGTCAATACTACTCGCTTCGGGGATACACAAGCCCCACTACACATACCTAGGACAGAGCCTCACAGCACTACTATTACCAGCGCCACTGTCTACACAGCGCAGTGGACTGGCGGGCAGATCTGCCGCATGCGCTGCACACGCGGCGACAACAAACACCAGCTTCAACCAACGAGCACCATGCGCTATTACATTGACCTCGCAGCAGCCTTCCATACAGTCGCCAGAGAAACAGCGTTCAGCGACAAACCAGACCAGTCAAAAGGCAAACGCTACCAGAACCAAGACTTCCCAGCAGCACCCATACCACTAGCAGAAGCATCCCTTACACAACCAGACATGATGGAAAAGCACGAATGCGACCAACACTTAGCAGCGCTACCCATCGAGCCCCACAAAACATCGCACTGCACATGTACACGTTCCAGCACCACCGTACGCCCAACCAAAGGCACCAGACCTGGCAGCAGTCTAGCAGACGCCATCTACAACTTGTCATTCGCCAGACCACCCGGGGCCTTCGCACAACGCATCTCTGACTAGTCCTGCGCCACCAAGTCACCGACACCTAGTCAAACAAAGCTTCCCAACTACCAGGCAACCGACACGCAAGAAGCCGAGCTCGCCGCCAGCATCGCCTTCGCCGACGACGCGCTCGTCATGGCTCAGCGCAAGCACAACGGCCTCATAGAGCACCACATGGCCGACCTGGCGATCGACGCACACAACACACTCACCAGCTACGGATTCAAGCCCAATTGCAAACCACGCAAATCAACATTCACCCTACGACTAACAGGCCCAGGCACAATGCAAGCCAAACCGCGCCTACTTGCAAAACCAGAACCCAGCATAAATCGTCCAACCTGGGACCTACCCATTACCATCACACATACGGCTACCACCCACTTCGACCCAACGAGTAGCACCAACGCACAAGTGGCACGCCGAATCACCCAGCAAAAGGCAGCACTCATACCACCCAAAGCAACATACCTCAAGAACGGACACCTACGCGCAGACATCAAGGTAACAACGGCCGACGTATTTGCAAACTGCTACCTCCATTACCAAGCAGAGGCACGGGGCCCACTAGCAAACGACGCCCTAGCA